TCATCAACCATGCCTATGTAATGTAGACTCCATTAAAAATCCTAAATGATGGAGCTTCCAGGTTGGTGAACATACTGAGGTGCTGAGAGGGTGGTATACCCAGAGAGGCAGGATGTGGAAGCTCCACTTCCATTACCATATAGCTTGCCCTGAGCATTTCTTCCATTTGGATGTTCCTGAGTTATGATCTTTATAATAAACCAGTTTTCCTGAGTTCTACAAGCTACTCTAGCAAATTATCAAACCTAAGTAGGGGGTCATGAGAACCCAAGTGATAGCTAGTGACAGTCTGGACTTGCAGTTGGCATCCAAAGTGGTGGGAATTGTAATGGAATTGAGTCTTTAACCTATGAAGTCTGTGCAAACTCCAGTGAGTTAGTGTCAAATCTGCTTGCTTGCTCTCTGAGCAGCGCTATGGTGGCTGGAAAGAACAAACACCTTATGAAAGGCAGCAAAAAGGGAGGCAAGAAGAAAGTGGTTGATCCACTTTCTGAGAAAGACTGGTATAATGTGAAAGCACCAGTGATATTCAATATAAGAAATATTGGGAAAAAACACTAGTCACAAGAACTCAAGGAACCCAACTGGTATGTGATGGCCTCAAGGGCTGTGTTTTTGAAGTGAGCCTTGCTGATCTGCATGATGAAGCAGTTGCATTTAGAAAATCCACACTAACTATTGAGGATATTCAGGGCAAAACTGGCTGCCTAGTAATTTCCATGGGATGGATCTTATCAGTGACAAAATGTGCTCCATGGTCAAAAAATGACAGACCAGGATTGAAGCTCATGCTGATATCAAGACTATCAATGCTTATTTGCTTCGTCTATTTTGTGTTGATTTTACTTAAAAATACAGCAGTCACATTCAAAAGACCTCTTACACTCAGCACCATCAGGTCTGCCAAAATCAGAAAAAGATTATGGATATCATGACCCGAGATGTATAAATGACTTGAAAGGAGGAGTCAATGAACGGATTCCAGACAGCATTGGAAAAGACACAGTAAAGGCCCGCCAATCTATTTATCCACTCCATGATGTCTTGGTTAGAAAAGTAAAAAAGTTGAAGAAGCCCAGTTTGAACTGGGAAAGCTCATTAAGCTTCATGGGAAGGCAGTATCTGAAAAAGCTAGACCCGTGCTAAAGTTGAACAAACTGATGAATATGAGCCATTAGTTCAAACATCTGTTTAAAATTCAGATATTTAATGGTAACCAACAAAAAAAATCTTATTTGTGACGTTTAAATTTTAAAAATTGCTTTGTACAGAAAACCTATACATTTGGTGTCAGAAGTATTTTCAGTATAGAAAAACATAGTTTGCCTTTACCTTCTATGATTTCCTATAGAAATTATATTTCTAGAAGCCATTTGGTAGCCTTCAGAGCACAATATTACTATTTGTTGTTATTTAATAGACTTTATTTTTTACATCAGGTTTAGGTTCATAGCAATATTGAGCAGAAAAGTACAAGTTCCCATATGCCACCCTCACCCTTGTTGTCCCTATTATCATCCTCCACCAGTCATACATTTGTTACATCAATAAACCTACACCGAAACATCACCAGCACCCCGAGACCATATTACAATTCACTCATGGTGCCGAACATTCTATGGGCTTGGGAAAATCTGTAATGACATGTATCCACCATTATAGTATCTATAGAAGAATATCACCAACCTAAAACATTCCCTTATAATCTGCCCAATAATCTTTCTCCCCCTGCCCCAACACTGGCAACACTGATCATTTTACTGTCTCCATGGTTTTGCCTTTGCAGAAGTCACAGAGTTGGAATCACAGTATGTAGCCACTTCTGATTGACTTCTTTCACTTGGTAATGTGCATTTAAGTTTCTTTTAGGTCTTTTCATGACTTGATAGCTCATTTCTTTTCAGCACTGAACAATATTCCATTGCCTATACAGACTAGTTTATCCATTTACCTACCGAAGGACATCTTGGCAATCATGCTTTTGGCAATTATGAATAAAGGTGCTACAAACATCTGTATGTAGATTTTTGTGCGAACAAAAATATTCAGCTCCTTTGGGTATATGCCAAAGAGAGTGGACACTAGATCATATGGTAAAAGTATATTATAAGAAACTGCCAAACTGTTCTCCAAAATGGTTGTACCATTTCACACTACTACCAGCAATAAATGAAATCTCCTGTTTTCCCACATCCTCACCAACATTTCGGGTTGTCAGTGATCCAGATTTTAGCCATAAATATAAGTGTGTAGTAGTATCTCATTTTAATGGCATTTCATCACCGACATGAGGTAGAACATCTTTTCATACGCTTATTTTCCATCTATATATCTTCTTTGGTGAGATGTCTGATGAGGTATTTGGTCCATTTTTTAATTAGGTTGTTTACTTTCTTATTGTTGAGTTTTAAGAGTTCTTTATACATTTTGGATAATAGTCCTTCACCAAACACATCTTTTACAAACATTTTCTCGCAGTCTGTGTCTTGTCTTTTCACTCTCTTGATAGTCCTTTTTGCAGAGAAGTTTTTAATTTTAATGAAGTACAGCTTGTCAATTATTTCTTTCATAGATCAAGCCTTTGGTGTTACATCTAAGAAGTCATCACCATAGCCCAGGTCACCTATCTGTTCTCTTGTGCTATCTTTATCACCATTAATTTAAAAAATATGTACATACTGAGTGACTAGTATGTGGCTGGTACTTAAGACAAGATGAATAAAGCAACAAAACTTCAAGCATCCTGAAGCACTACTTTCAGAAACTCAGTCAACCACTAACAATGTTTCTCAAGTGGGAGAGATCAGAGAAGTCACAGCAGAGTTGTGTAAATGCAGTATCAAACTTAAGAGCACAGGCATTGAAGCAGGCCTGCCTGGATATGAATCCCAACCCTGCCACTCACTAGCTGTGCACGCCTGTGTCCCAGCTTCCTCAACTGAAAAATGAGGAAAATATTCATACCCACACTTCACTTCACAATACTGCTGTGAAGATTAAATGATATAATCCAGGGAAAAGGCTTTGGCATAGTGCCTATTACACCCAAACTGCACAGTTAATGCCAGCACTTCTACATTCTCCAAGATAGGGACTCAGGCATATAGTTTAACAAACTATTCAAAATTATCACTGCTTTAAGTTTTTAATCATGGTATTTCATTTTATTTTGAGTTTCAAAGAAGACTGAGGTATACTCTAATTCTCATAATCCATGGCCAGCTAATAAATCAAGGAGTCAAAATAAATGAATAAACAGCATGTGGAAGATTAGTGGACACAGTCAGCAGGAAAAGTATGTGGTTAAAAATCCCAACTTGGTGAAAGTAGTCTGTTTTCCTTTTTTTAGACACACAATGCCCACATATAAGAAAATGATTAAAATTTTAAGTGAGAAGCTTAATTCATGTAATATTTCATTATTACATTACTGGTTTTTATTTGTACTAATCTAACAGAGGAAAACAGACTATGAGTATTTAAAAATTAAACCACAGAACTGAGGATAATTTATTTCTCAGTGACTTCAATAAGAATATGGTTCAAAACACCACAGCTAATGAAACAAAGCATAGTTCTATTCTCTAGTCTAACTACAGAAATTATACACAGGAGAATATTAAAATTGAATAGTACTTTTAAAAGTAATTTTAGGGGCACCTGGCTGGCTCAGCTGAAAAAGCGTGAGACTCTTGATTTCATTGTGAACTTGAGCCCCGTGCTGGGTATATAGATTACTTTAAAAAAAAAAATTAAGTATTTTTAAAAAGGGTAACTGCAACTAATTAGGTGACATGAAAACATGCAAATAATGTCAACTATATCTCAATAAAACTGCTAAAAATACACATAAGTAAAATCATTACCTTTTTTTTTTTTAAGTTGGCTCCACACCCAGCATGGAACCCAACATTAGGCTCAAATTCAAAACTGTGAAATCAAGACCTGAGCTGATATGAAGAGTTGGATACTTAACCAAATGAGTTACCCAGGTGTCCCTCATTTCTTTCTTTTTTCTTGCTCTTTCTTTCTTTCTTTTGCTTGCTTTCTTTTTCTTTCTTTCTTTCTTTCTTTCTTTTTCTTTCTTTCTTTCTTTAGATTCTATTTATTCATGAGAGAAACACAAAGAGAGAGGCAGAGACACAGGCAGAGGAAGAAGCAGGTTCCATGCAGGGAGCCCGAAATGGGACTCGATCCCAGGTCTCCAGGATCACACCCTGGGCTGAAGGTGACGCTAAACCGCTGAGCCAACCAGGCTGCCCTCATTTCCTTATTTTAAAACTGATTATGTCTTTCTGATCTGAAATGCAAATGAAATCTATTTCATACAAAAATAAAAATGAGATTTAAAAAAAGGACTATGATCTTACTCATTTATAAGCCAATCAGATATATAACCCCTATATTAGACTGGACAATGCATGAATCAGTCAGTCAAGGACAAAATGTTACACTTTTATATGTAAATAAATATTAACTGATACTTTTATAATACAGTTCAAACAATACAGTAGTTCCTCCATCTTATCAGCCAAGGGATACAGTCCAAGACCCCCCAGGGGATACCTGAAAGTATGCAGGGATAAATAGTACCAAACCCTTTATGTACTGTGTTTTTCCCTAAACATACATAGCTACAATGAAGTTTAATTTATAAATTACACCCAGTAAGAGGTTAACAATAACTAATAATAAAATAGAAAAATTACAACCATAGACTGCAATAAAAGTTATGTGAATGTTGTCTCTCTCTCTTTCTCTTAAAGTGTCTTATTGTCCTGTATTCATCCTTCTTCTTCTTGTGATGATATGACGGGAAGCGAGGTGAAGAGATAGACACTGTGATGTAGGGTCAGGCTACTACTGACCTTCTGACATAAGTTAGAAGGACAATCATCTGCTTCTGGACATCGGCTGACTGTGGCTAACTTTATCCCAGAAAGCGGATAATGAAGGGGGGAGTACCATAAACATCTGCTTATCCCACTTTCAGCAATTACCTTTAATCGTTTCCTCCACAACTTCTACCACTCGATCTATCTGTTGAACCTAAAAAGAAAACAAATTACATTAGACAAGCAATTTACATGGATAAGAAACATTAACTTGTGTTTACCTTTCTGCTTGAGTCAGTGTATCACATTTTCTAAGCATATGAATATAGGTTGTTTTTAATTAATGCATTTGGAGATATTATAAAAAATATTCTGTATTAATGTTTTGTGTTACAGTGAAGTATGAAATTACCTCCCTCCTGTCCTCCAATGATAACTGAAGAAATCATAATACATTTAAATAAACTGCCTGGAGTTCTGTTAGCATAGCCTATCAACATAAACTCAACACATCCTGAGATATAAAGTGATGTTTAATTAAAACATGTCTCTTCACACACACATTCTCTTCATTCTTCAAGAAAAATGGCAGAAGATGACAACCTACACAAAAGGATATGCTGGTATTAAGGAGATCTATCCCAAATACTATGCTGTCCTATTCTAAGTGAAACCCCCTTTTATGGATGTCTACCATGTACTGGGCACTGTGCTCAGGTCAATAGAATACAAAGTCAAATAATAATAGCTCCTACCCTAGATACAAGTGACTAAGGGGACTGCCCATGGTACCATAGGAACACAGAGAAAAGGTAACAAATAAATTGTGACTGAATGATCCAGGAATGCTATCAAGGAAAGAAAGGTGACTCTTGAGAGAGAAGCCGGATTAAGATACGAGAAGCCCATTAATAAGACTGAGTTAGTGTGGCTAGGGTGTAGATGGAAATGTAAAAAGATTATAGTGCAAGAAGCTAAGTGAAGAGAGAAAGTAAAAAAAAAAAAAAAAAAAAAGAGTCATAAGTCGATATTACTTATACCTTAAAATCTTCAAATGATTGCTTTATTATATAATACATGCTCATTGAAAAAATTCAAATAAATTAGAAATATAAAAAGGAAATAAAGTAACCTGTATTATCCTACATCCTCCACTTCCATTCCTAAGATATAATTCATAACAGCCTAATAGATACCAAGACATTTTCCTTTTTTTTTAATTTTTTTTTTAAATTTACTTATGATAGGTACACAGTGAGAGAGAGAGAGAGAGGCAGAGACACAGGCAGAGGGAGAAGCAGGCTCTATGCACCGGGAGCCCGACGTGGGATTCGATCCCGGGTCTCCAGGATCACGCCCTGGGCCAAAGGCAGGCGCTAAACCCCTGTGCCACCCAGGGATCCCCCCAAGACATTTTCCAAAGCAGAACATTTATATATAGATCTGTTCTTTTTCTTATAAATTATGAGATAAATATTGGGAAACAGAAGAGAGAAAATGACAGACCTGCTTCTTTATTTTTTTTCTATATACCATCAGTACATATAGGTCTACTTCATTTATTTTCCTGACTGCCTAGTATTCATGTATAGATATACCATAATGCATTCACCCATTCCCCAACTAATGGACCCTTATGTTATTTTTAATCTTTCATTTTTATACAACAATGATGCAATGAACTCAACTGAGCAAGAACCTATTTAAAAGACTTTAATAAAACTGCAATGGCAAATCCCTTTTAAATATTTCTTTGGCGAGGCCCCTGGGTAGCTCGGTGGTTGAGCATCTGCCTTTGGCTCAGGTCCTGATCCCAAGTCCCACATCAGGTTCCCCACAGAGAGCCTGCTTCTCCTTCTGTCTATGACTCTACCTCTCTCTGTGGGTCTCTCATGAATAAATAAAATCTTGAAAATATAAATACTTAAATATAAATATACATATTTATATTCCTTTGGCCTCAGTACCTTATGGGAAATAAGGATAGACTTCTTAGAACACACTTCGATTAGGTTCTGCCTCTGACCACTCAGCCCAGCATAATGGTAGTAGTTGCAATAATTACTGAGAAATTGTCAAAGGCAAAGTAGCCTCTGTTAGATCTTACGTCCCAAACAAACCTACCTCACTGGAAGCACTAGGTTCTGGCTTTATGAAGAGAATGAATTTGGCTTCCTTATAGAATGTGATCAAAGCCAAAATAATAGAGTTCAAAGAGGAGGAAAGTACCCAACAGACTTAAATGCTACAGAGCTTATAAGTTACCATAAAGACTGGAATGTCTATGCCTGATTTAGCAATGTGGGAATCAATGAACTCAGAGGAAGCAATGAGTTTAGTAGTAATGAATCATAACTAAGAAAACACTGACACCAAATAGAGACTACTCTTACAGACAGATGAGCTGAAGGAAGGAGACATGGGTAGGACAAGAAAGGAAGAGTTGATCAAATTTCCCAGTGAATGGGATGAACAAGATATCAGCTGAGGATACAAGACAGAGAATAAAAGTATTAGAATACAAGAAAATCAAATGGTGAAACAAAAACATGAAAGCTTTTCTATGCAGCTGGGGATCTAATAGCTCAAAAGGATCATTGCACCCAGTCTTATAGCTCGTAAGAAGCAGTATCCCTAGAGAAGAGTCAAAATCTAACTTGTTGGAATAGTTAAAAAATTTAAAAATTTAGGGTAAGCTAAAACTACAATATTCGTAGAAGAAAACATAGCCATAAATGTAGGTGAACCTTAGGTTAGACAGTGATGTTTTAGATATTACACCAAAAACATGAATAACAAAAGAAAAAAGATAAACTGAACACCATCAAAATTAAGGTCTCTTGATACATCAAAGGACACAATCAAGAAAGTAGCAAGACAACACAGAAACTGGGGGAACATTTTTGCAAATCATAAATACATGATTCAGATTAGTATCTAAAATGTATAAGGGGCTCCTTCAACTCAATTACAAAAAAGACAAATAAACCATAGAAAAATGGGCAAAAATGAATCAGTCAGTTAAGTGTCTGACTCTTGATTTCAGCTCAGGTCATGATCTCCAGGTAATGAGTTCAAGCCCTGCACTCGGCTCCATGCTGGGCATGGTGCATACCTTAAAAAAACAATAAAATAAAAATGAGCAGGGGCACCTGGGCAACTCAGTCAGTAAAGTGTCTGACTCTTGATATCAGCTCAAGTCATGATTTCAGGGTCATGAGATCAAGCCCCGCATTGGGTTCCAGGCTTAGCATGGACTCTTCATGAGATTCTCTTTCTCCTTGTCCTTTTGCCTCTGCCCCTTCTTTGCTCGCACTCCCTCTCTCTGATAAATAAAATCTTTTTAAAAAAATAAAAATAGGCAAAAGATTTTAATAGACACTTCTCCAAGGAAGACATACAAGTGGCCCAAGAGCATATGAAAAAAATGTTCAAAATCCTTAGCCAATCAGGGGATGCAAATCAAAATCACAATGGAGGAATGGGGAGCTATTGTTTAATGGGTCTAGATTTTCAGTTTGGAGAAATGAAAACACCCTGGAGGCGAATTGTGGTGATGGTTGCACAATAGGGTGAATGCACTTAAAGGCACTAAAATATACACCTAAAACGAATCAAAACAGTAACTTTTATGTTATATATATTTTACCATAATGAGATACTACTTCATACCCACTAGGATAGCTACAGTCAAAAAGACAGATAATAACAAGTGTTGGCAAAGATAGAAGCTGGAACCCTCCCACATTGCTAGTGGGGATGTAGTAAAATGGTGCAGTTGCTTTGGAAATAGTCTGGCAGAGCCTCAAATAGTTCAACAGAGTTATAATATGATCTAATAATTCCAATCCTAAGTATACACGCAAGAGAAATAAAAACATATGTCTACACAAAAACTCATACACAAATCTTCATAGCAGCATTATTCAACATAAGTAAAAGGTAGAACCAACTGAAGTCTCATTAACTGATCAATTTAAAAAAAAGTGGCATATCCATATAATGAAATATCATTACACCATAAAGGGGAACATGATATACAGTAGTCCACCCTTATCCATGGTTTCATTTACCTGCAAGCCAGAAACAGATGGTGCTATGACATATCATCTGAAGGTCAATAGGAACCTAATGCTAGATCACAGTGCCTATATCATTTAACTCACTTCATCTCATCAAGTAGGCATTTTACCATGTCACATCATCACAATTAGAAGGATGAGTACAGTAGGATGACCACAGGACATTAAGATATTCTGAGGGAGACCACACTCACATACTATATTACTTAATATATTACCTTGCATTATATTTTTATTATAGCACATGATTATAATTGTTCTTTTTTATTAGTAGTAATTGTGGTTAATCTCTTGTTATACCAATATATAAATTAAACTTTAGCATAGGTATGTACATGTAAGAAAAAACACAGTATACATAGGGTTCAATACAATCCAGTTTCTAGTGTACACTGGGGATCTTAGAACACATTCCCCATAGATAAAGGGAGGACTCCTAAATGCTAAAATATTAAGCTAACTGAAAGAAGCCAGACCAAAAAAGGGCAAAAATTGTATGAGTCCATGTATATGAAATGGCCAGAATGGTTCAATCTTCAATGACAAAGTAGATTAATGACTGTCTATGGATGGCAGTAAGAGAAATGAGAGAAACTGCCAGAGCGCTGATTTCTTCCTAGAGGAATGAAAAAATTCTAAAATTGATTGTGGTGATTGTGGCATAACTCTGAATATATTAAAAACCATTAAATTATACATGTTCTATGAAAGCACTGCATAGTGTGTCAATTATGCCTCAAAAAAGTTGTTATTACAATAATAATAATAATATGGGCCACCTGACTCTTGGTTTTAGCTCAGGTCATGATCTCAGGGTCGTGATATAGAGACTCAGGTCAGACTCCATGCTCAGATTTGAATCTGCTTCAGACTCCCTCCCTCTGAGCCTTCATCCCCAACTCTCTTTCAAATAAATAAATAAATCTTTTTTTAAAAAATTAATAATAACATAGGTTGAAAGTGGTCAAATGTTCTAATGCCAAGGTCATGAAACTCAAGGAAAATCTGAGGAAATATTTCAAATTACTGAAGCCTAAAGAAACCTGACAACTGCACCCAACTTTGCATCTGGGTTTTTAATATCCCTCTAAAGGACATTATTAGGACAACTAGCAAGAGCTGAATAAGGTCT